CAAACATAAGTTATTTTGTTCCAATTATCGTGATTGAGTCTATACTTGTATACTGTATGCATCACATAGTAAAGTTAGTTTAATAATCGGAATAAGAACGCATGTGTCTATAAAACAACATATCATGATAGTAAAGGTCGATCCTTTGATCGGGCGAGCGGGGGTGCTCATTTCATGACCTTCCCCCCTCGTACCTATGTTCCTGAGCCAAGGCAACTTTGGTGATGACGGACACGTGGCCTTTGGCACGAGTCAGGATTTCCTAAATTTGCCAAAAATAAAATATTTAGGTGGTGACTCTGAATTCTGGCAAAGCAGTCCATGTTTGACGCTTTTTGATTAAAATCGATTTTCCAAAATAATTTGTTGGATTTGGACTCTTTGGTGATTTATCAGTCTTACATTGCACTTTATGAGATTAGATTCAGAATCGTGACAGGAGTCCGAACTGTAGTAACTAGAACCCAATTTGCGCCATCTCCGAAAGGAGGGCCCGCGGAGAGAGTTTCGGGAGGTGTACAGCGTCAAAAGTCTCGCTCAAGCGTAAAATGCAAGTAACCAGTACTTTTTCAGACCAAAGGGGTTCGCTCGAGCGGAGAGCCCTGTTTCGAAAATTTTAAAAAGTTGTTCTATACTTCGCTTTCCGTTCTTTTTCTTTCCAAAGCACTCTTAGGCATGCATTAAACATTTTAAATGAATTAAAGAACATAAGAGAAGCCTAAGAATGTTAAACAAGTTAAAGAACGGAATAAATTGTATTGTGACCCAATTTTTATGTGTATTATGAATTGTGTAGGGTCAACTACAAGGGCGAACCGGGCATTTGAACACAGTGAGTAATAACTTAGTAAAGCTAAGTTCAACATAAGATACTTTCTGCCTACGAAGTAAGATTTGTTCAATGAGATGCTATGTTTCATTATATGAATGATTGACCAACTATAACAAGCATTTATGACATTATGCTATAATTCAAGTATGTTACAAGCGACAATATTCTATGATTCAAGTATGTTATAAGTGACAATATTCTACGATTCAAGTATGTCACAAGTGACATTATGCTATGATTCAAGTATGTTACAAGTTCTCGGAACCGAACGTTCCTTATGGAATTGACAAGCTATCTGTACCCGGTTGGAGGTTCCTAGGTGGAACTGACAAGTTTACAAGTTCCCAGTCTGGAGGTTCCTTACGGAACTGACAAGCTATCTGTACCTGGCTGGAGGTTCTTAAGTGGAACTGACAAGTTTACAAGTTCCCAGTATGGAGGTTCCTTTATGGAACTGACAAGCTATCTGTTCTCGGCTGGAGGTTCCTAGGTGGAACTGACAAGTTTACAAGTTTCCAGTCTGGAGGTTCCTTTATGGAACTGACAAGTATGACATTTGATGCTTTGTATGTGATTTGTAGCACTAACGGATGCATTATATAAGATTAAGCATGAACTCTAATTTCTGTGTGTGATTTGAATAAGAATATGAATATAAATCCGTTTCTGATTGAAATCTGAATATGCATAAGACTCTGTGACGGACATCATCCATTAAAACTCTTTACTTTGTTATTATTCACTGGGCTCCAGTTCACTATATTATTTATGTATGTAGGTGATTAGCCGCGTGACCAGGCCTAGAGCTTCTGCCTGGATTCTATTTTGTCAACCAATCTATGTGCCTCCCGTGGAGGTTCCGGATATGCCTAGTGGTTATGGCTAAGTACATAAAGTTCAAGTTTTGTTTTCTTGTTTGGTTAAACAAGGCTTTGTTTATTTTGTAAATAGGGCTAACTCCCTTTTTGTCTAATCTGTATATATATGATGACGTAAGAATGGTGTATAAATATGTATATGAAAAGTTTCAAATTTTTCTGTTTCATATAAGTCTGTACAGCTCAATGGATGTTGTATATTTGTTATTTGCTTCCGTTAGCCCCTAATATTATGTCAATATGTCACAGAGGCCTTCGGTAATCCCAGGATTACTGGCCAGTTATGATGCTAAACCTATAAAGGCGGGTTTGGGTCGTGACAGCGCGAGTGCATGATGTGAGGTTGAGTTGGGTTTGGTCGGCCCAATACTTATATTTTTGGACTAAAAACTTCTGTAATTTATTTATTTATTTTTAATTTTGGTTTCAAAATTTAATAAATTAGTCCAGGTTTCTTCCTTCACCCAAACCGATCCCTAACGAGTTCAGGCCCACCCTTACAGGTTTAAAAGGTTCAAAACTCGAAGCACCGGAGCGAGGGCGAAATCTACTTTAAGGAGATTGTATCCAACACGTGCCTCGACTTTAATTTATGTGAGCATTTTATTCAGAATTTAATTTATATAATTATTTTTTGAATTATTTTATTTTGTTATTTATTTTAATTATACATTTAGTTTACACACACACCATTGTAGGTATAACACTCTTTTCTCTCTATTTCTATCTCATGTCCAATCCTACGTTGACACTCAGTACATATTGGTCCTTTTTTAATAATTAAAGTCGTTTATTTTATAAGATTACTTGTGTATATTATTAATGAAAAAAAAATGTTAATTCAATAATAGTAATATTTCTATTTTATTATGTTTGTTTAAAAAAAATACTTATTACAATTAGCATAATCAATTTGTTTTATATTATATTATTATGGTGCGCATCAAATCTTATTGATATTATTTTACAATGTAATATGATTTTATAAGAAAAATGACTAATAAGTACTATGTATTATCATTGAGAAATATCAAATTTTAAATAAAAAATTAAGATATATTTTTTTGGTAATTTTTTCCAAGAGAAGTTCAAGTTTTCATAATACAACAACATAAAAATAGTTATCTCTGGCCTTTTTAAGAAAAAAAAAATTCACACAGGAAAGAAAAGAAGAAAAAGAAAAGACAAGAAGATGAATGTGGTAATGGCATGTGTATAGAAGGGCATGCCTTAAAGAAGAGCGGGAGTGGCAATATGAGCATCAAGAAGAACAATTTATAAAGTGTGGAAAAGTAGTTATTTTTTATTTCTTAAAAAATAAAGATATATTCTTTTGGTAATTTTCTTCAGGAGAAGTTAAGGGTCTGTTTGGTTGTATTTTCAAATTAGTTTTCAACATGTAAACTCGCGCTTCACGTTTGGATAGAACACTCAAAATACATTTCCAGGTGTGAATTCAAATTATAGTATGAAAACCTGTTTGGCAAGTTGTATCTCTACTTTCAACGCTTGTGCATTCTTCCATGTCCTTCTATGTCGTCTCCATCGTCTCTGAAATATTCCATCGTCTCCGAAATATTCACGTGAAGCTCATCTCTGTATCAAACATCAGTCCTTTATATTGATCACGGGTAGGCTTCTCTATCAAACATTAGTACTTCAGATACTTCAGATTCATCACGAGTACTTCCGATTCATCACGGGTGGGCTTCACAGAGAAGACTGATTTTATAAATAATGAATCCACCCAACCCGCTTTATACTGGTATCATCTTTCACAAATCGAGTTCCTTACGATTTGTGCGTTGTGGAAGATTGTTATTACGGGCAACGAAACAACGACAACTGCGACGTAAAAGAACTCACAAATTTATTTACATATTTTGTTATACGAAAATGATTTGAAAAATTCATCCCTAATTTTATTTTATTTTTCTTTCAGGTCAAATTTATGAAATTTATTGTCGAATCCGACGAACAAACAGTGCTACAGTAAGTCAGTATACACATTCCATCACCGGCGATAATTATTCAATTCCCACTAATTTGGTAAATATATCCTTCAACTGCAAACGATTTTATACGAGTCGAAATCAGTTCTCAAATATTTTCTGAGAAGTGTAAGGGACTATTTTTTTTATTTTAAGATGTTTTCTATTTTCCTGAACTGTTTCACCTTTTGCGAAGAAGAATAGCAGTAAGCTGCTAAATCGATCTGAATCTGTTATATATAAATAATTTTTGAGAAGTTAAAATCAGTTCCCAAATGGTTTCTCATAATTTGTGGACGCCTATTTCTCATTTCAGATATGTTGTTGTTTTCAATTGTGAGCTGTTTGAACCTTCTGCAAGAAAAGAACTTGTGAACAACTTGAGTCGGTGTACCTGGACACCCGGCCGGTCGACCTACCCATCCCTTTTTCAACTACATTCACTGGTTTATTTACTGATTTTTTTCCTACTTCATTTTCTACCCGTCCCATTTTCCTTACATTTTTTTTACTGGTTTTCTCCTACCATTCAAAGATAATGTTACCTGATTTTTTTACCTTATTTTTTTTATTAGTTGTGGTTATATTTCTGCTATTTAAATTGAAGTAATCTGTTACGCTATTTTTTTCCTTTAAATAATATCATCTGTCTTTTTTTTATCTGTGTTCTCTTTGAAATCATTTTGCTCTGTTATGATCTGTTTGTCTTGTATATCTACCCCAGACTAGTTTAAATTTCATTTGTATGTTTATAGATGGATGAAAATAATTCTGATGACTTATAGATGGATGAAAATAATTCTAACCTTACATCTTTTTTACTGGTTTTCTCCTACTTACCTGATTTTTTTTATTAGTTGTGGTTATATTTCTGCTATTTGAATTGAAGTAATCTGTTACGCTATTTTTTTCCTTTAAATAACCTTACATCTTTTTTACTGGTTTTCTCCTACTTACCTGATTTTTTTTATTAGTTGTGGTTATATTTCTGCTATTTGAATTGAAGTAATCTGTTACGCTATTTTTTTCCTTTAAATAACCTTACATCTTTTTTACTGGTTTTCTCCTACCATTCAAAGATAATGTTACCTGATTTTTTTACCTTATTTTTTTTATTAGTTGTGGTTATATTTCTGCTATTTAAATTGAAGTAATCTGTTACGCTATTTTTTTCCTTTAAATAATATCATCTGTCTTTTTTTTATCTGCGTTCTCTTTGAAATCATTTTGCTCTGTTATGATCTGTTTGTCTTGTATATCTACCCCAGACTAGTTTAAATTTCATTTGTATGTTTATAGATGGATGAAAATAATTCTGATGACAACCAAGAAACAAAAATGTGGACGGCCAGAAGTGAAACAAAATTAAAAAATATGTTGAGAGATGAGGTTAGAAAAAATCAAACAACTGGCCGTACTACTTCGTGGACAATTAGGCATTGGAATCATTATGCAAATCAGTTGCACAATCTGTATGGATTTCGGTATACAGCAACACAGGTGCGCCAAAAATATCAGCGATTGAAAGCTGATTATCAGACATTTAAGCGACTCCAGGCACAGACTGGTCTGCACCTGATGAATTTTGGGATAAGGTTGTTCATTAATCTGTAGTATTAAATAATTTTAATTTAAAGATTTCATGATACATATAGTGCTTAATTCTTTATTTGTATTTGTTGTAGGCCAACATAAATATGAAGAAGTTTAGGACAAAAGGATTTGAATATTTTCAAGAAATGGCAGAAATTGTTGAAAATTGTTGTGCCACAGGGGCCTTATCTCGTGCATCCACACAAGGAGCCCTTGACTCAGAAGAAGAAGATGACATGTTAAATAAATTTTGGAACCCTGATGTTGGTGGGAGTAATGCTGGTGGGAGCAACGCTGCTGAGGCAATTTCTGTTGACTTATTTGGGGATGAGTACATGGATCCAGCAAAGGGCAAAAGTCACAAGAGGGGCCCTACAACCAACCAAACTGACAGTGGTCGTTCTAAAAAGTCACGGTCAAGTGGGTTTGATGATGTGTGCGCAGCTTTCACATCCTATGTACAAGCAAAAACAGGACATTCACGTGCACGAGAAAATGAGGCAGAGGCTGTAAGGGCAGGTGGTGATGATTACTCTCTTGATGCATGTCAAGATGCATTACTAGAGCTTGGGGACATACCACCAGTGCAGTACATTAAGGCACTGACACTGTTCAAGGATAAGGAATGGCGAAGGTTTTTTATGCGCACTCCTACCCATTTGCGCCTACCCATGATCCTCGCTTTGCAGTGAAGTCAGAAGCTCTTCATTGATTGCGTTATCAAATCGCCCTGTCTGAACTAAAAAATGATTTCATTATTCCTTACTAGGTTTTTTTTTTCTTTTTCCTTCCATGATATCCTATTCCCTTTCCTATCTTCGTATGCTTTTTTTTTTTTTTTGAACTTTTAAGTAATTTATGTTTTCTTATCTATTATGTTGTGTTATGACAATATGAGCACGTATTAAATAAATTTTGTCCTTCTATGAATTTTAGTGTACACTGAAAAATAACTACGGCCGACTATTCATATACTTCCTTTTTAATTCTATTTCACCATTAATGGTATGTGTTACAGCATTAATGACATATTTTATAATTATGGTTTTACTGTGATGTAGACAAAACCATATGTCATCCGACAGAGAAAATAATTCAATGGAGATCTCATCAGACGAGGATGAGGTTACTGATGATTTTATGGATTTTTTGATGATTGCTTGCATGCATGACCAAATCAACGCCTCAAGTACTCGCCGACCGCAGCGAACGTGTCCATTCAAAGGTGATGATTACATCTTCGGCCTATTAACTAGCCATCCAGAAACAATGATGAACATTACGCGAATGGATGCACAAACATTCATTTTATTGAAAGACACTTTACTCCACAATGGCTTTATCGATATTGAGCATATGCATATAAGTGTCGAGGAATCGCTTGGAATTTTTTTATACACTTTTGCACAAAATGATCGTCATCGACTATTGGCAGATAGATTTCAGCACTCCACGGAAACAATTTGTCGGCATATAAAAATTATTATGCGGGCATTGTGCAAGCTTGCATCAACGGTTATCAGGCCACGTAACCAAGACGACACACCGGCAAAAATTTTAAATGACACGAGGTTTTTTCCCTGGTTCAAGGTATGAACAATATGACTATCCTGTAAGTTGTACATATCAATAACGTATGTGAAATAAATATTATTTCCTTTTAAATTATAAAAGTAATATCGAAGTTTGTTTTGCTTTTAATGTCAAATAAATATCTGTCAATTAGGATTGTGTCGGTGCTATTGATGGCACGTTGGTCGATGCATGGGTCCCCGCTTCAAGACAAAATACATTCCGCGGTCGGAAATCAACGATATCGCAAAACGTACTCGCAGCTTGCGACTTCGATATGTTGTTCACATTTATTAATTCCGGATGGGAAGGTAGCGCTCACGACAACGCTATTTTGATTGACTCTATTACACGAGCTGATCTACAGTTCCCACACCCACCCAATGGTAACTGTCCGCAAATATCATATAGTGCACTTTTTTTTTTGTGCACTTATCAATTGACAGAACTGTATATTCATTATTTACATGTAGGTAAGTACTATTTAGTTGATGCTGGTTTCACAAACATGCCTGGATTTCTTGCCCCATTTCGGTCTCAACGATATCACTTGCAAGAGTTTCGTGGCCGTCATTATTCAGGACCAAAGGAATTGTTTAACCATCGACATTTGTCATTACGCAATGTCATAGAAAGAACATTTGGTGTTCTGAAGAAGCGCTTCCCAATATTGCGGTCCATGCCAAATTACAAGTCTACAAGACAAGGGCCTCTCGTGATTGCATGTTGTGTAGTGCACAATTGGATCCGTTTGCATGCAGCTATGGACCCATTATTTATGGAAGCTGATAATGAAATGGCCGCAGAAGCAGAAGCAGACGAGCTTGTTGAAAACCAAGCTGACTACGTTGACATGTCACAACATGGGTTAACGTATCAATCGAACATTCGGGATGCAATTGCTACTGCTATGTGGCAAAATCATGTTGGCCACGGATAGAAAAGGAATGCCAACAAGGCAACTCAATATTGTACTGAGTACTCGTTTTAAATGTGTAATGTTTTTAAAAAAAAAAGGTTTATTATTTACTTGAAACTTGTTTTATTTCATTTTACAACATTAATTTCATTTTTTGTATTAATTGATACAGACAAATTATTTTTTATTTGTTTAATTTTTATTCATTTCATTGAAATGAAGGATTTGTTAGACATTTATTTTGTTCACATATATTCATTTTTCTACGCCCATAATTTTTCCGTTTGCGAAATCTTTTCGTAAATATTGTCAGAACATTGTAACTTGTTTTAAAATGATTTAAAAAAAAACACTTGTTATTCATGACATGAATACAGAAGTTTACAACAAAGTAACAAAATAAAAGAAGTACAACAAAATAAGAAAATAAATAACCAAAAAAAAAATTGAAAAAAAAAGAAGCATGTAGCCACTACATCTGTTTCACCATTTAAACTGATTTTTGAACAAGTTAAGCATCATTATCAGGTAGTGTTGGCGGTGGAGGGTAATAGTGATGGTACAGCTGAGTGACTCGATGGTCAATCTGATCAATGCAGTTCCTTGTCACTTCATCATGTCTCCCTGAGTCTATACGAAACTCGCTAAATTGTTGAATTAGTGAGTTTTGAGCAGCGGCAAATTCATCGAACCGAGTACCCAATGTATTGAGCTGATTAGCCATTTGTTGTTCCCATTGTACGGGCTGATTGTACCGTTCTTGTTCCACAGCCAAATAATTAGTCCAGTAATGGGGTTGTTCATTTGGTGGCATGGCATCGTCATTGGGTTCTTCCTCATCGGGTATTGGTTCATTTTCAATATTAATAGAGCTCATCAATATGTCAGCACCACCACCTCGGGTCAGTATGTACTCAGAAATTGGTGAAGTGATTCTGACATATTGTTCCCCTTCAAGGTTGACATCAAGCGCTTTGAAAATTGTGGTTAACAAAGCTCCATAAGGTAGTGACCGACCAGACAGAGTATCGAGTTTTGCAATCATCATTTCTTTGAGTAATATGAAGCATAAATTTAATTTCTATCCAGTTTCAAAACAGTATAACAAATAAACATTAAAACATGAAACACTATCATAATGGCCTTTTTTGGGAGTGACATTTTTAACTATCCATCGATGAAGAATACGAAGGTGGGGTTTTAAATGTCTGGCTAGTAAATTAGTGCCGCTGAATTTGTTGTCACAAATTGTGGTATAGATCTGAGTGACATCACCAAACATTCGTTCTAAGGCAGACTCATTTTGAAAATAGCATTGTAAATCTCTTGTTTGAACTCCAATAATTTGTGCGAAAGCACGGAGAGTGAGTGTGATTGTTTTCCCTTTCACATAGGAGGTCAGACTGAACGGTTCATTTTGTTGGTCACCAGCTGTCAAGTGAACATAAAATAATCGTACAATACGGGGATATACCTTATTTGGTAAATTAGTTAAAGGTAGCCATCCCATTGTATCTAATTTACCAACTAAGGGCGGGTCATATTGAGAAGGTAGTCTTACATTTCTCCCCGTAACAATTGGTCGATTAATAAAATGTGAATAGGCTTGTTCATGATGATACGATAAAAAATCATTATTTAAATTGTCATGATGTTGTTGCTGTGGTTGATGGTGTACAGGATTTGAGGATTCACCACGTTCGGGTCTGGCTCGTTTTGTTCTTGGCATGATAGCTGCAACAGTGAAAGAAGAATATATAAAAAATATATATTAAAACATGAATTGAGAAAAATGTATGGAAACTATATCGAAAATAGTATGATGTACAAAAATGTATAGAAAATATATCAAAAATAATATAATGTTAGTGTAAAAAAATGGAACACATATGATGGGACAGATATGAAAAACATGAACAGATCGGCAGCCACAAAACTGATCGACTGGGATGGGATGACCGGCCGGATGACCGGCCGGTTGACCACCCGGTTTACCGTGTCGAAGGCTACTGCTCCTCTTCTTCTTCGAAAGCTACTAGTGTTTTAATACCAAAGGTAGTCTGAATAAAATACGAGATGCGAAGGTAATACGAAACTAACCTATAATTGAAATTAATGTTCTTGATGGAGCTGAGACCACTCGACGGTGAAGTTGAAATCTTCCTTCAGTAGGATCAAAGACGGTGAAGATGGTGTGGTTAAAAGAATGGTTTATCAGAATTTATAACAAGGCTGAAGCTTGGTTTTTTATTTTTTATTTTTATATTTTAATTTGTTATGTATTATTTTTTTATAATATTAATAATGTTTTTCAGAAAAGTGCATGTGAACTGATATACACAGCTATGATGTCCCTTTTCTTTTGGCTCAGTATATAGGTAGTAGGTTCATGAAATTACTAAATTACCCTATATATTTTGTTCACTTCCCATGTAAATAGAGAGGGACAAAATAGTAAATTTATAGGTGAATTCAATTATATGAGCGTGCTGATGGTCCTTCAATAATGGTCTGATTTGTACTCATTTCCTAATAAATTAATAACGTGTAATAAATGAGAAAAAAATTTGATAATATTTTATAAGGTTTACGATATGATTTGTATTTTAATCTATTAAACTTAGTGTATTTATGTTAATTTTTATTAATATGTATTTTTAAAAGTTATTGACTTCAACAAAATTTAAAAACAAAAATTAAAAATGTATTGTACAAGATGTTTGTACAGGCGTAAAAAATGAATTGATATAAAAATTTAATTGACACAAAATAATTGACATAGATTTATTTTAAAATGGAAAAAAAATTTGAAAAAAAAATTTATTCAACAAAAATTACTGAAAAAAATTAATTAAAAAAAAAACAATTTTTAATTTCAATATTTTAAATATAGTTTGGTTATTACTGTTGATAAAAAATACGGATATCGATACAAGAGTTGTGTACACTCAAAATAAATTATTGATTGAATTAAATTTTGAAAACTATTTTGAAAACACATTATCAAACAAATTTTCTTATTTCACATGTCACATCAAACTTTCAAAACATAATTCAAAATACATATTCAAAACACATTTCAACACTCTATTTAAAAACCATAACCAAATAAATTTTCTACACTCAAATCATAATTCCACAACACACAAACTCAAAATACAACTCATATTCTCAAATCACATTTACAAAACTCTACCAAACGCTACCTAAAGCTTTCATAATACAACAAAATTAAAATAGTTATCACTGGCCTTTCTAAGAAAAAAAAAAATCCCGCAGGGAAGAAAAAAAATAAAAAAATGAATGTGGTAATTAGGGGTGGGTAACGGTTTATTCGAACCGCTCAAACCGCCCAACCCGCATATAAATGGGCGGTTTCACAAACATAATGCGGGCGGATGCGGTTTGAAATATGACAAATTTGCGGGTTGCAGACGGGTCGCGGGTTAAACCCGCAACCCGCAAAAACCGCCCGCACTTTAATTATTATTATTATTTTTTTTTATATATCAACTTTGTAACTTTAACATGAGCACCATTATGTTCTCTATGGCACTAGGATCTTTATTTTTAAATATTTCTCAACTTTTTTAATGTCGTAAAATTATCAAGTCCTAAACCTGATTTCTTATATGATTTTCATTGGTGGCTCGTCCATTTTTTCCTAATAAAATTTTCCTTTTAGTGGTCAATGGAACTTCTAGTTTGATTATTGATTACTGAACTGTCAATTCTAATTGAGTACAACTTTTAATGCATTGATATACATTTTTTAATGCATTGATATACATTTTTTTCATGGCAAAAATGCTAGTGTAGGATCTCTTTATTTTGGGTACTTTTATTTAATGCATTGATATTCAATTTTTATTTGTAAACTCATTACAAAATTATTGTCAAATGATCAGAAATATATAAAATGAATCTGATGCCTAAATTCGATGGAAAAAAAAAAAACTCAAAAAATAATTTTTAAAGAAAAAAGTGTAAACCGCCCGCACATCCGCAAATCCTATCTGCACAAACCGCAAATCGCACTGCGGACGGTTGCGGGTTGACTTTTTCTCAAACTACATAAATGCGGACGGGTCAAAATCAAATCGCAAACTACACAAAATCAATCCGCAAACACCCTTACTGATAATAGCTTGTGTGGAAGGGCATGGCTTAAACGGCTTGTAAGAGTGGCAATATCAACATTAAGAAGAATGACTTATTAAGTATGAAAAAGTTATTAGTTGATTAAGAGAGACCTGTATGGAACGTTCTATCTGTATTATAATTTGGAAGGAATAAAATTCATAATTTCATATTTAATGATTAAAAAATATGAGAAGTTAGCGTTTCAGAATTAACCAATAATTTTTCTAAAGTGTAGCATATTAACCGTTGTTTTTGGTAGATGGACACTTGGCCATCACGCAACGGCGAAACCGTATTGCACTACAGCTGGTGGGCCGAATCACATGCAAAACGTATCCATATAATCTGGGCGGAAATCAGCTGTGCTCCGACATTTTCTTTCCGCTGAAAACCACCACTCACATCACAGCTCCCCACCTCAAAGAATATATGCCCAACCCCATTATTGTTTGTTATTTTGATATAAGATAGAATATTACGAAATTAGTAAGTTAGATTATAACGAAAAAACTTTCGTCATTTAAATCTTAAATTTTTAATATTTTTATTATTTTACGAAACAGTTATATAAACTATTTAGACTAAAAGTGACACGTTGCCAATCTCATTCATCACCACTTATTTTTGAATGAAAAATTATATTCATATACTTTTTTTAATTTTTATTTTTTTCCTATATGTATGCATGGTAACCTCATAGGGTTAGATGTTAGTAGAGTAAAAATGAATTACATAAGGTATCAAATTTCTAATCATAAAATTTGATTTTAAAATCTTACGCTACCTAAATAATATTTTAACTAAGAAGGCTGTTCAAATCTAAAAAAAAAAAAAGTGCCTATTTTGCACTTCAAATCCATCTTGATAATTATTTTTATTTTTTTTAATATCATCAAGTAAAACATTCATATAAAAAATAAAATTAACTCCATATCAATAGTCATATGGTTTGATCATATATATATGTTAAAAAAAATATAGGTCTGTTATTAAAATTATACTTATCAAATTTTTTTTAAATGTAATATAATTATATAATTATCAATTTTAGATGAATTTGATTTTTTATATAAATAATCTACTAATAAATATTATAAGATGAATAATTTAGATTCTTGAGATGAGCCTAAAGTAGGCGAATAGTCCTTTAACTGGAAGAAATTTTTGTAGGTTAATAGGATATAGCATGACATTATCTTCTACCAATCATAAATGTACATACCCTCTACTTTTCCTCAAACATCCAACATAAATATGATGAACCCTACTGTTCAATCCAATCATAATAATAGAAGGCATCACTTGGTATTTATACACCAAAAAATTTCTCCTTAACTGGACTTTTTTAAAAATATAAGCTACCGTATCTTTTGTTTTGAAGTAATAAAAATCAAAATTGCCATATCATTGTGTATTGATTTTATGTATAATTTTTTTATTTGTATATTGTACAGAATTTTTTATAATAATAATGTAACTGTAACATTTAATTAAATAAATAAGTAATATATATATATATATATATAATTTAGCCTTTTATTTAAAATTTTGGAAGTGTTTTTATATATATATATATATATATATATATAATTTAGCCTTCTATTTAAAATAATAAAATCAAGAATTGACAAATGTATTGATTTTTGTACAATATTTTATTTATATATTATTATCCTGTTATATTTATACCATTGTAAAATAATCGGATTACATATGACTCGTCAAAAAATTATTTAAGATTAAGTCGTTATAAAAATTTAAATACATTCAAGACTCACTTAAATACTCAAATCAAACTTAAACCATTTACCACTTAACGAGAAAAAGTTTATATACAATAGAATCCAAATTAATCAAGCTTGACTTATTATTGACTTGGATAAAAAAAATTTATAAATGAAACTTAAATACATTAAAATTCATTATTTTAAAAAAAAATAATAAATTTAAATGCTAATTGATCATTATTTTAAAAATAATAATAAATTTAAATGCTAATATAGCCGTCGGTGACAATTAAAAATCTTGGTGGGTGTGTGGTGCTAACTGCTTATAAACTATAAAGAAACTAGTGCCATACCTCTCCTCCCTTCCATTCCTATCCATTTCTCACAGTTCCATTTCACAGAGAGAGAGAGAGAGATGGGGAATTGCCAAGCCATTGATAATGCAACCCTAGTAATCCAACACCCATGTGGCAGAGTAGACAAGTTGAACTGGCCTGTCACTGCCAATGAAGTTATGAAATTGAATCCTGGCCACTATGTTGCTCTTCTCCTCACCACCACCACCGCCGCCGCCGCCGCCACTGCCACTGCCACTGCCACTTTAGTACGCATAACGCGTATAAAGCTTCTCCGGCCAACCGACACTCTGGTTATTGGCAAAGCTTACAGACTCATCACCACTGAAGGTTGTGTTTTTTTTTTTTTTTTGAGCCCATCTTCTCTTTTTGTTTTTGTTTTTGTTTTATAAGCAGTAATGGGTTTAATTTGATGAATAAAATTTGTGTGGTTTGTGGGTTATAATAGAGGTAAGGAAAGGGTTGTGGGCAAAGAAGTATGCTAAGATGAGGAGGAAACTATCAGAGACAGAGTCTGGTGATAAGCAAGAGAATGTGAAAGAGAAGATGGGTTCTGATTTTGAGACACCAAATAGAAGATCTGAGATGGAGAAGACCAACCAGGTGAATTTCTTTGCTGATTTCACGAGTAAATAATTTTTGTTAGATTATGCAATACTATAGTCAGACTCGAATTCAAATAAAAACCCAATTAGCGTCTTGTTAATTGGTTAATTTTTTGGTCTTATGCGTCAAAAGTTTAATATTGGGAGTTTAAGGCAGGCCCTAGGGCCTAGGCATAAGCAGGGAAGACCGCAGCCTAGGGCCTCTAAGTTTTTGCTGAAATTTAGGACTCCAAATAAATTTGGTTCTTTAGTTAGTCTATTTTTATTTATTCCTTAATTATTAAGCTCCAAATAAAAAAATGCCCAATCCAAAGCAAAAGAAAGAGTAATGTTTAAGTAATATTTTGTTACAATTTGTTTAATTTTTTATTTGGTATTTTTTTATTTTATTTTAAGGATTGAATATATCAAGGCAGGCTCTGATGAGAGGAGTACCTTAATTCTGCTATAAGTGTTTCCTCAGACTGTAGAGTCCACAATTCAAACACAAACTCAAGAAAAAGTTATATGTAAAAAATATGAGAATTTTTTCTTTTTTCTCCATATTATTCATTCAAAATCATTCAAAATTGTTTTCTAATCATATAGAACATTTTCAGGTGTTAAAACATGAGAGACATCGGCCACGACCCAGGACGACAACATCGACAAACTCTACTGCTGCCAAATCGAAAGCATGGCAGCCTTCACTGCATAGCATCTCGGAGGCCGGAAGCTGACTCTCTCTCTCTCTTCATGTTCTTTGTATGAAACTGGTGCAGATCATCAATTCAGTACATCCCTGAGGTGGTTAGTCTGGTGAGCATAATGGAAAAAGTTTCTTCAGTGGCAAGTCAATCCGTGTGGAGCCTTGTATTGTACATCCAAATAGAGAATAGTGCATCCAAACATGGTTGTAATCAGCTGCTTAGAACTAGGTCTTTGTTCAAAAAGCATTTACTAATTTGCAGTGTCTCACAAATGGGTTATTTGTCCAAGTTCTTTGCTTTGCTTTGCTGGATTTTCCCAAAAGTCACATTTTAACCACTGGAAGAAATTGTTAAGATGATCGGTGAGATACGAAAACAAAGAATAACAATCCACAAGAATTGTAAATTACACGCACAAATACACAAGATATTTGGGATTCACTCTAAAATTAGGATTACCTCGATGATCTTTGTGGTTCCATTACGCTAAGAAGGGTTATATAAGAGATTCTGACATAACCTCTCTCCCTTCAACTGCACATACATAAAAATTAGGAAAACATATCACAAGTGTGGAAATACTAAAAAATATCCTTAGTCCAAGTTGGATTTGTGATCGAGTGATTAGTGTTCAATATTCATCATGATCCACATTATTCCAAACAGGGCAAGGGATCAGTGAATTTTTTTAATATAAAAATTGCCACATTTAATGGATATTTCAATTAAAATCCCACGACGTATTAAACTTTTTTTGTCCATTAATAACCCTTCAAAATTTTCATTTACCATGGCTCCTAATATAAAATTTTTTACTCTATGCTTAAGGATAAGTCTCGCTAACTTGGAGAAAGACACTTAATAGCTTTAATAAAGGCAAGAAAAAGAAGAGAGAAATGAAAAGAAAAGAAAAGAAAAAGGAATTCCAAACATATACCTGGGATAGAATGTGATTATTCCATTTCATGCCTTGTTTGTTGGTTTGTTGTGCATATTTGACTGAATGAGACAATGATGTTAGAGCATGTTTTCCTTCTTTAGTGCTTTTGTAACAAGTGGAATATCATGCTTAACACCCACAACAAGTCCATTAGATCCTTCTCTTTCTTTCTTTCTTTCTTTCAGTGTTCCAAAGCAATCAGACTTAAGAAGAAGCAAATCATATGGTAACTTTTCTTTCTTGGCAGGCCTGCAATTTAAAATTGATGAGTACTCTTTAAGCCAAAAAAAGAATACTTTAAATGGGACAATTGTAACCAACCAGCTCAGTGTAAGTAACAACACCATAAGCAAGGAAACTTGGTGCAATGACATTAGATTCTTAAATTTCTCATTGCCTCTATGCTTTTCATATCATTTTTTCTTTTAGGTATGAAAATAATTTTCTAAAATGTGACTTGTTTTAAAAAATATTTCCAAAAAATGTTTGTCAAACAAGTATTCTATGTTTTTCACACTCGTATTTCTAATGTTAAACGATGGCCTAACCTTTACCTAAAAGTATTATCGGTTATAACTTGTCTCACAAATTTGTCCTTTAGGCTCAAAACCATTTAAGTTCTGGATGTCAGAAAGCCGTCATCCATATCCAATGTGAAATGTCAAAATCACAAATCGACATACGCACGACCCAACGTGTAATACTAGACGCGTGACCAACCCCCACCTCAAAAGTATTGTCCATTATGACTCAACTCAACAATTGGCATCAAAGATTTGTCCCTTTAAACTCCAAGCAACTCATGCGCTGTCTTATAAGTACATTCTGGACATAGCTCTCTTACATTTGATGCAAACTATCGGCAACTAAAAACTCATGAACAACACCATCCACCTCAATCCAACTACACCCAGGGCTTTGAGTCACTCCTTCTCTCACCTAGGGCTTTGCAAGGTGCAAATGCATAACTACGAAGTTCAGGAATAATAAACATAGCATCATTATATTGGAGGGGAACATCAAATAAATGTTTTTAACAAAGCCATATCAAGTTTCACGTCAAAAACACAACACAACCTTTGAGTAAACACAAGGCTTATCCAAACAAAACTTCAATTCTCAAACTACTATATTATTCTAAGCTCACTCTCCAAAATTTAAGCAACTGAAACAAAATCCATCAAGACTCTTTCTCTAAATAAACATCCATAAAATGACAGCCCATTAATTATCTCAACTTTTATAATTCAACAGTTGAATTTTGAGTCTCTTTGTTTAGAAACCAGCAATTGATGTGATACTGGGATGTCACCACTGATATATGAACTTTCATTGCATTAAGCAGATGCTGTGTTCTCGGTCACCCCTTTTGCTTGTTCGTTCTTGCTGAGTTGGCTGAAGTTCCCCTTCTCCTTGAAGAGTTGGGAGTGGTGGTGCTTGCAGTAGAGACGATGCTCGTGGGCCACGTAATTTGATGGGCTGATCACACAACCTCCATGCGCGCACTTGAAACAAGGTCTATGGTATGACACGCCATCAACCGCCACCTAAAGGAATTATGGTACAAAAGCCTTTTTTAAGAGAAATTGCACTGATTCTAATGACATGAATTAACCTAAATAGGGCTATGAGTGGTTGGTAATACCACAAATTGGAATATTAAAAAAAAATTGTTTTCAAAATATGTATTCTAAAAAATAATAAAAACTAGTTTGATGAAAATGAACACCAAAAAGACATTTTTGAATTTTCAAAAACTAATTTTCTACTGAGAGAGAGAGAGAGAAAGCAATATGAAAATGAGGAGTGTTTTTGAATTTTTCATTATTTTTTCACCAAAAAAGTTTGTGTTTTTCAAAAAACAAATTTTGAAAACGAAACCAAATAGAATGAATGGTCTGTATGGTTATGTTTTCATTTTCTGGAAAATGCAAAAACTTGTTTGCCAAATTGTTTCCAAAAAACTATTTTCGGTAAAAATTTTGGAAAACAACCCACCTCTATAAAAACACTGAAAATTGTTTTCAAAAATTAGAAAACGGTTTGCACACAAATAATCCTATGAAAACTAGGGTGGTTTTCAAAATTTTCACTATTTTTTTTTTCCAAAAACACCAAAAACAAAGATAATGAAAATACAGCTAAACATGGCCTATGCAATTTTAACATCAAGACATATCAGACCATCACAGATATCCTTGGTGAAGTCGCACAGAATCAGCACGGAATCTTTATAGAGCAATGGAACATAAAAGTTATATAAACTAAAACATTGTTTTTCTTGAGCGGAGAGTAAGTTTCCTAGAGCAAATTTAAGTCTGTTAATATAAAACTACTAATATTTTTCCTATTATTATTTGTTTAGTGAACATAAAGTACTAATATCATATATGTACCTTTTCTAATGGGTAAACTGTTCTCTTGCAAGCAACACATTTGTCTTGAGTTCCAGCAAATAAGCTCGAAACTTTGTTGTTGGTATGACCCTGTGCAATTCACTCACAATAAGAATAACACGATATGACACATATATAAAGCTTCGATTAATTCAGATTCAACTTTGGGAAGTTGCTAAAAAAGTATTTTTTTGAGAAGTAGAGTGGTTTTTTAGTGCTTTTAGTTGATGGCCAACAGACTTTTGGCTTATTTAGCTCACCCCAAACAGGGTCTGAAATGTCTAACAGAAAGGGATTACTGAACTTGGCACCATTGAGTACCTGATATGCGGATCTGTCAACTCTAACAGTTTTTGGAGCCCCTAGAAGGCAGAATAAAAGAGGAAATTAGTAAGGACTTATTAATGAGCTTAAACAAACAAATGAAAGAGTAGAAGTGACTGATAAAACTTGGGAAAAGCTTACCTTCAAAACTTTTGTCCAAACTGCCTGTCATCTTAAACAGTTGGTTGAAGTGAGGCTTACAATATAACACACCTTCAAAGGAGCAATAGTTACTCAGCTGCAAAGAAGAACATAAAACTTGAGCATGAAGTAGGAAACAATCAAATAACAGATAATATATGAATTAAAATGTACAACTATGAATATAGAAAGAGAAGCAACACATTCCACGTCTTTTAAGATATTGTATCAGAATTATGAACAGAGAATAGATGAAGAATTCTGCATCTTTGTATAACCAAACGATTTTTACAAAGCTCGGGATAAATTAGTAAGAGGAAACTTACAGTATCATTCTTCAATCAATGATATGTAACAAATATCATTGGGCCAGCAAGAAGTTATATTGTTCAAAATTGAAGACACTATATGCACGTTGGAAATGATAAAAAAGGACCTCATTAAGTGGTCAAAGAAGACGTGATAACCCATTATTCAAAAAATAATAATATTAATAAAATTGGCCTACCGATAAACAAAGAAAAAAGAAACCAAATTTGTGTGCTGACTCAAACAGATATAGGTGTTCTCTGAGTGCATGGCTGGAATAATGGGGAACAATTATTTAGCAAGACCAGATAACTGAACAAAGTCCAGCTGCTCTGATCTTCAACATATTTTCATAAAAATGATCAACAACAACAACATTGAATTAATACCCATAATGGGTGTTCGGGAGGGGTTAGATTGGGCATATACCTATTCTTTGGCATAAATGCACAAAGTGACTGTCCTCATACCTGAACCCATAACCTCAAGGTTAGTAGGCCAAGCTTTTAACCACTAAACCAGTGATAACAGCATTACTAGAGAAACAATGCAATTATCAGCTAGAAACGAACATTAGGTATTGACTTCCAGTATAAAAAAAGTGGAAAATTTAGGTGTTGCTGCAGTCAATTTTCTCATAATTTCATTCATTTTGATTCAGTTGTGCCACAATTCATGCTGCAACTAATAGATGGTTACATGCCTGATAGGCAGAGAATTAAAAATACATGACTTGCATTGTGTGATGGTGACAATGCTTTTCGAGAGGGACAAATAATTGTGATGGAAGTAGAAGATAGTCATAAAATTCTCCAACCCCATTTTAACACAAAATCTAAAAAATTCATAAAATTCTCTGCTATAGTTCATAGTACAGTATTAACTGTAGAAAATTCTCTAGTCTCTCCCATCTTTTTACCACTCCCATTTGATTGACAAGCTCGTAAGCTACTTTTATCAGTAGAATCAGCATTGATATGTCCAAAAAGATGAAATAGTGATGACAAGGCTTCCCTGAGAATATATCAGAGCAGATGATCAATCATTGAAAGCCCTAAAAAAAATGATGACCCAATGCACAAGGGTCCCGCTAAAGTGGGCATGATATGGGGAGGGCTTAATATAAGCAACCTTAGCCCATTTTTTTCAAGACACTATTTTGCAAGACTTGAACTCGCACCACCAAGATGCTAATAGCATGTCTTCCCATTGGGTCAAGCCGCCCTTTCACTCATTTGAAAACCCCATGGATCCAAATCACTAATGCTAAGAACACAGAATTAAAATACAGAATGGGTCACTCTATGCAATAGTACGCTGAGATTTATTCTGAGTGTGAACCCCATGTAATTGGGTTTAATCTCAGCCTTCTATTGCATTTTCTGTGATCCATCATGTGTTCCTAACATTGCTGGATCCCAAATTCCACATCAACTTATCAACCAATTGAACACATTCATTGAATAAACAGTACATTCAAACCCTCGAATAAAACCAAATTCACATTATCCAAAAGCCCAAGTTGCAATCAGAGGTCATCATCATATTCATTACAACCATTATTACCATATGCAATCCAACCCAAAACCCATCATCAAAACAAAGTCAATTATACAACTCCTTTAACAGACAATTAAAACAAATTGTTCACAAATGCCAAAAAAAAATAAATCATCAATATGATAAAAAGAATATTTGTCACAAATATGTCTATAGTTGCATATACATATATATATATGATCTGGGATTTTGACCTTGAGGGTGCCCTTGCAATGGTGGCATCTAAAGCAAGCCTTGTGGTAGACCTTGTTATCAGCTGTGAGCTGATCCACCAAGTATACTGTCTTCTCACATGCCTTACACTTCTGGGTTGTCCCTGCAAATGTTGCCATTTCTTTTCTAGATCCTTCAACACCCACAATTTCAAGTAATCAATGAACAAACCCAGGGAAATTCTTGATGATGGCAAAGACTGAACTCTCTCTCTCTCTCTCTCTGTCTCTGGAGTCTTGAGTTTCAAACAAACAGCTCACTAGTCTGAGAGGCAGAGAAAGCATTACCATCTGCCAAAATAATAGGGTCTGCTCGACAAAATTCTCACATGCCTTACACTTCTGGGTTGTCCCTGCAAATGTTGCCATTTCTTTTCTAGATCCTTCAACACCCACAATTTCAAGTAATCAATGAACAAACCCAGAGAAATTCTTGATGATGGCAAAGACTGAACTCTCTCTCTCTCTCTCTGTCTCTGGAGTCTTGAGTTTCAAACAAACAGCTCACTAGTCAGAGAGGCAGAGAAAGCATTACCATCTGCCAAAATAATAGGGTCTGCTCGACAAAAAAAAAAAAAAAAAGAAGTTAAATGTTGGCTGTCCACATTGGGGGCAATTGGGTAAATTTACCATTTATATATAATAAAAAAAAAATCTATGTCATTTTAAAACTAACCTTCCATATGAGTTGATTTTTTGACTATTTCAACATAAGATTAAAAAATTTCGTTTAGAATGATTTTTTTGACTTTTGTGAGAAAAAAATAAAATAATTAGAGTTTGAATGTGACATTTTATTTTATTGACTTTTTAACTTGTTTTATCTTTTTGTGACTATTTTATCGTAAAAACTTTATGTCAAAGATAGGCTAAGGGTAATTCTATTTATACACCATCAATCTCTAAGTACACACCATTAGTTATTAAATTTATATGGCAATAATATCCTTAAATAAAATAACTATTAAGAGCATCTCCACCCGAACCCTTAAACCTCCTCCTTACCTATTTTAAGCGGTAAATGGCTCCCTATATACCTGCATCAGTTCCCCTAAATAATCTCTTAAATTAGTTTTTGTTACAGTGGCTCCCTTATATATATATATATATATATTGCTTTGCTTTGTTTAGGGATTGCAACACACATTTATGATTTTTATTTTTTAAAAATTTATAATTAAAAATTATATTTTCATAAAATAAAGAAAAAAATAGGGAGTTTGTTAATGGAATAGAGAAAGAATAGAAAGTTTGTTGGGGGAAGTAAATAAAAAAGTGAGGGAAGTAAATGAAAAAGTGATTCTTAAAATAGGAAATGAATTTTTTAATAATATTTTAGAGTAAAATTTAGACAAACTAGTGGAGATGCTCTAAGGACAATATGGATGTATATATATTCATTTCAACAATTTACATATGAAAAAACAAATATCTCTGTACACACCATCACCTAGAACAAATCTTTTTTCTATTATTTTTCAAACTCAAAATATTATTGTTTTTCAAAAATTGAGTTTTGAGAGTTAAACCAAACTAGATCTTATGGTTTTAAAAACATTAAAATCAATTGATTTTAAAGATTTACATATTATAGATGACATTAATTTGGAACAATTAATAATAAAAATGTCAGTTTACTTTGTTATTTATCTTGTTCGTATTGATTTGGAACAAAAGACCGTTATTCATCTTTACAACAATGGACCTTCAAAAAAAAAATCTTTCTAACAATGGCTTATTCGTTCTATGTGCACACAGAGTTGAATATTTACAAAATGTTCAATTATTTATGTTTGAACAGAAGCATTTTGTTCATATTATTAAAGTTGAATAAGTATTAAACGTTCATACATAAAAAATTAAACATTTTGATTTAGTTTGAATATAAATTTGTGAACATATTTTAGTTTTTTCAACACTTATTTATGAGCAATACTAAATCTTTTTTTTTTTTTGTTTAAATTTTTGTAGAATATCACACCGATTGCTTTGTCACCGTAAAATTTCAACTTGCCGTTTGGTTCTTGTCGTTTGCTCTAACGTTGCTTCCATAGATTCAACACAGATCAGGAAAAGAGACACACACAAGAATCTAAAATTATTGTGAATTGTATTTTGGACTTTATTGTCTTTTCAATTTGATGGTGTGTACATCATCTCGAGTTAGCACTACTAAAAAAGAGAGTTTTCAAGTTGGCAGCGTGCTGTCACAAATAACATATTTGCCGACGCAAAAAGTTTTGTGACGGCACTGCGATGGCAACTCGAGGGACGAAAATAGTTAGGTCGCAAAAGCTTTTGAGTCAGCACATTGCCCACGCAATTTTTTTTTAATTTTTTAAGACGATAAGTTGCCAATGCAAAAAGTGGTTAAATGTTTTAAAAAATCTAACCCATGATTTCCTCATTGACGCTCCGTACCACACTTAGCCCACTGCACCGCAATACCTCTTTCTGATTTTAAATGAGATATATATTATTTATAGTATATACACTCAATATTAATATAAAAGTACATGTATAAACAAATATATTTATTAAATATAATCAAGTAAATATATATATCGTAAGTATAAAAGTATTTTTGTTGCCACGGCATCAGTTGCCGACACGAAAGGTCTAGCTTTTTGTGTCGGCATAGATTTGCCGACGCAAAAGGTCTATCTTTTGCATCAGTAAATTCAACTGACTTAAGTAATGCTATAAAATATTAAATTTTTGTGTTGGCCAATGGTGCCGATGCTAAAGTTTGGTATTTGCGTCAGTAACTCTGTGCCGTCACAAAAAGACTAGCTTTTGCAATGGTAAAATCTATCGACTCAAAAAAACCAACTTAAAAGGCCCTTTAATTTGTAGTGTACGGTGTGTATTGTGTTGTATGTGTTAGGCTAAAAAAGTAATATTATGGTGTGTGTTGAGTGAAAAATCAAAAGTTCAAACTATTATTGATATGAACTAAGTAATGGTGTACTGAGATGATTGACAGTATATAAATAGAATCACCCTAAAACTAATTTATCGTATATGTCACCTTAAAATTAATTTATCAAACTCAAAAATATTTGACCTTATTTTTTAATTTAATTTAAAAACAACTTGAAGTCATATTTTCAAAAAGTTTCATAAATATCAACTTTGATCTTATTTGGTGAGAATGTATAGAGGCTACTTTTATTTTTTATCTTTTATTTGCAAGAAAAAAAATAGTTTAAATAAGTTTTTTATTTTATTTTAAAAAGATAAGTTTTTTTATTAATAATTTTCAATTTGTAATATTATTTGGTATAACTTATATGAGTTGCTTTTATATATATATATATATTTGATATACCGTTGTTTGGTATAATTTCTTATAATTTAATTAGAAATAGTTTAAACAAACTAAATAATTTGATTATCTAAAATTTGGGATTAAAATTTTTTTGCTTTTTTTTAAAAGGGTAAATTACAAATACACCTTCTAAGGTTTGCTCAACATACAGATTGTCCCATGTGATTTGAAAAATTACAAATACCTCCATTGTTAGAATTTTTTATTTATCAGAATTAACTAAAAAAATAAAATTCATAATTGCTCTCCTATATAATAATACAATTACCTAAATTATTAATTGAAACATATTTTTAACATCATTAAAAACTGTTAATTGACTTGATGATTTATTAATAAAAGGGGCGATTTGTTATAAAATTAGAAACTTCAGGGGGTACAATGTAATTTTCAAAACTACAGGAGGGGATTCGTATTTTAATTAAACTTCAGAGGGTGCATTTGTAATTTATCCTTTTTTAAATTATTAAGTTTTAGTTCTTAAAAAATTATTAACATTTTTTTATTATTAATTTTTAGCTTATAAAAAAAAAGGAAAAATGAGGAAAACATCCCTCTCTAACTTTGGACAGTAGGAGAGGTCCAATATATATTTTTTTATTATTTAAGATTCCTCGATAAAATTTTTCTTTCATCATATTAGAGAATTTTTGATGTGTTAGGGCAAAATTTTTCTATATTGGGATGAAATTTTTCTGTGTTAGGGTGAAATTTCTTTATATCAAATTTTCTCTGTAAAAATGTTGAGGGATCTTAACCACTATGAAAATATTGTATGTCATTTATCTTATAAAATCTTAATATTAGGGATCTTTAAAAAAAAATCCTATAAAAAATTATAAATCGTACCAAATAGATTCTTCAAATTTAAAATGTTTTTTTTCAAAACACTAATTCTAAAAATAAAAATCAAAATAAAAAATCAAAACGTTTGAATTTGAAGATTTTATTTTGAAAACAACATGAACTTAAAAACAAATAAATAAATAAAATAAAAAGTTAATTACCTAAAAGTTCTATTTACAAATGTTATGGTAACTAAGGTCATATATAAGATTTTTTGAACCAATAAATCTTATTTAGTAAAATTGAGAATATTATCAGTTTTTTTCAATTTTTAAAACTAAGAACAATATCAATTTTGCATAGTAATGTTTTAGATAATCATTTCACTAATTGATGAAAGAACAGAGCATGGGATTAAACAACTTTGTCCTTTTATTTATTGATTTGATTTAACTATCCAATAAAATCATAACAACATTATCAACTTTTATCAGTTTTAAAATTGAGAACATTATTAGTTTTTTTTTTAAGTTATTTATTTATTTATTTTTCAATTTTGCATATCAATGTTCCATCATCTTGCTCATTTATAAACATAAAATTTTTAGTTTTGCACAAAAAATAATTCATTTTTTCAATTTTTAAATTACGTATTTTTGGTTTTCCAAAAACACTTTTTAGAAAATTCTACCTTATTGTTTTTCATGTTTTTTTGTTTTTACTAAATTTTTTTAATATTTTAAGCAATTTTTTTAATTTTTAGACACACCTAACATAAATATACATAAAAATATATTTTTTGTGAAAAAAATTCTTTTAAAAATTCACTAAATACTAAAAATACAAAAAAAAATTATGAGAATTTAGTATATTTTTCATATTTTTATGTATTTATTAATTTTTTAAAATATTTTTTTACAATTTTTTTATTTTTTTAGATACATCTAAGTAAAGTGCATCTAAAAAAGTAAAAAAAAAATATTTAAAATTTTAAAAATATTTACTAAAAACAAAAAATACAAAAAATAAAAAACTCAATTTTTAGAAAAATTTATCCAAAAAACTGAAACCAAACATGGTGATTAATTTTTTTTTTTGTATATATAATTTTTTTAAAAAAAATTTCAATTTGAAAATAGATATTTTAAAGTTTTGAAAATCAAAATAAATGTCAAATCATCATATTCTTTTATAGATAATCATAAATGATGAACAATCATTGTTCGAAAGGTAATTCTAACTAACAAAATTTAATAAAACTTGAAGGTTTAAAAAATCTTAATTATAACTTAACGGAGTATGAGTTTATAAATGTAAAATTGTGTATAAATGACCCTAAAATAAAATCTAACAAATTTATGGAAAATAGGAAAGTACAATTATACCACTTATAGTTGGGATTCCAACTTATCGCGGTTTTCATGTATGGAAGCGATTTATGGCACGCTCTCAATTAGCGCGTTGTACTCTTCATAATCGGATGGAGATTTTTTTAGGACTGAGCAACTAATTCATAAAATTCGTAATTCGATTTAATTCAGTCCAATTTAGTAGATTTGGATTGATTTTTTGAATCTGTGGTTCGGTTTCGGATTGAAACATTAAAAATCCGTAGTTCACAGATTGGTTCCGAATTGATTTTTTGAATCTGTGGTTCGGTTTCGAATTGAAACATTAAAAATCCGTAGTTCACAGATTGGTTCCGGATTGAACCTCACGGTTCCGGATTGGAACCTATCCGGACCGTAAACAAATAGTTTATATTTTTATTATACACTCTCCTGCACAATATCTTCTCTTATTTCATATAAAACTTAAGAGTGCTGCTATTAGCACCTGCCAAAATTCTTTGGACCCCCCATTTTATAATTTTTTTTTATTACAATTATACCCTAAAGTAAAATTACATTAAAAGACATTATGAAATGGAACACCCACCTATCAATAATAACTAATACTCTATAATATTGGACACCCACCCAGACCCCCACTCCCACCTCCAACTCCAACTATACGTATTCCATGTTTGTAAATCCTAAACCTATTACTTTTCATAACCAATTAACATAAACCCTAAATCTATTATTTTTCATAATCATCTTAAATCCTGAATGTGTCATCTTCATCACCATCATCAACGCTATTGAACTTGAAAGTTTTGCTTCAAGTATAACGTATACTTCATCACTTATTTCACTGTGTAGAGCAATGGAGGACGAGGACAACATTCTCGGTCGTTTATCTGTCTTGTATTAACATTCTCGGTCGTTCGGTCGTTCTTGTTTCGTCCGAACTGTTCGGTATTGGTTTGCTGACTGTTACAATTATGTTCGGTAACGCAGTACTGAACATAATTCTTTCGTTCGATACATAAGTTCCGAACATTAATGCAGATAGTCAGTTATGTAATTTTCTTTGTCAAACTAACTTAGAATGGAAAATAGTGAATTGGAATGAATTTAAGTTATATATTTTGAATGGATTTAATTCATGTTATTTTAAGTTGTGAATTAGAATGGATTCAAGTTACACAGTGATGAACAAATTTTGTTTGGGCATACAGTGCTGACAGGATCATTATTGTTCGACAAAACAATTCTGAACAAAATACATTTTTTTGGCTACACAGTGGTGAACAAATTGGGTGGGTGTGCTTTTCATTGTGAAAATATGGAGATTAGTTTTCTATTCTGAAAATATTATGGAAATATTATGGAAATTAGTTTTCCATATATATACATTGTTTTCTATTCCTACAATTTGCATCAATCTTCACTTTCTCATCTGAATTTCCCAATCAATGGCAAATTCCAAAGAGACCCACGTCGTCGAAATCCTAATCGACGAAGAATACCAACCCCACAAGTAAATGCATTGTGTTTTCAGGAACCACTTTTTAGATGTGGTTAATGTTGGAGAGAGAAGAGAGAGAAAAAATTAGGGTTTTGAAGGGGTTTTGAGTAAGAGAGAGAGAGAGAGAAAAGAGAGAAAAATCTTCACTTTCTCATATGAACAAAAGGGATTTTGAGAGAGAGAGAAGAGACATCACTGATGAGGAGAGAGAGAAGAGAGGGAATTGGAATGGATTCAGGTAGGTGTGCATTCATTGTGAATATGGGTAGATTTGGTAATAAGTGGGGTGTCCAAAAAAATATTATTAAAATTTAAGGTTTAGGGTTGGGGTTCAAAGAAATGGGGGGGTCCAAAGAATTTTGGTAGATGCTAATAGCAGCACTCAAAACTTAAATCCAAACTTAAACTTTCAAAATATCTTCTTTTATTATATTTGTTTGCTAGTTTTTAGTGTTATTTTGTAATGGTCTAAATACTTATGGTGGAACTAGTTTCCTTATGGTTGTTTAAATTCCAGAACAGTTTGTCATTATTATGAAAATGCATGTTGCTATTGTGAAACTAATATGGTGCTATATTTATATTTTTATGAAATTAAAGTGTTATATATATTTTTTTGTTATTTAATTATGTAAATCAGTGGTCCTAAACCGATTTAATCCATGTTTAAATGGATTGGTTCGGATTGGTTCCACGATTTAAACGGATTAGATTGGTTCTAATTTTTCAAGAACCGTAAATAATAAATTGATCCTGATTTTACTCCAATTCGGACCATGCTCACCTCTAAGATTTTCTTAAGTCAATTTCTTATTACGAAAAAATTTGAGAAATCAAACGATTGACAATGTAGAATATCAGTGGGACCATAAGAAGTGAATCAAACGCGGACACGTCGGGAGTGGTCATGTTAATGTTCTTTGGGCAGTGCCTTATACCCCCAGTGGGGGTCGCACCCCCAGTGAGGTGGCGCACCCCCACTGGCTAACAGTCCAAAAAAAAAAAAAAAACAATTTTTTTTGCCCCAATCACGGGCCGCCACCTCACTGGGGGTCGACCCCCAGTGGGGGTATAATGCATTTTCGATGTTCTTTTGGGTAATATCTCTCTTGTAAATAATTTGGTTTCAATACCACAATACTTGGTAGCTCGATTATAAGGTAGGCTCGAGAATAGCTCGAAATTCATTTTGTAGGTCGTTTGAGTGGATGTTCGGCCGGTCATCCGGTAAAGAGATTGACAATCGCGGTCAACAAAGGTGACAATCACGGTAGACAATCTTTCACCTGATCGTCCGAGCATTCGAGCCATTCTAACCCCTTCCAATTCGAGCTATCACACTTTTTCCGTTTCAATAATGATGTGGTATGATTTTTATTTTGAATTTCTTATTAATATTTTACGTTCTGTTGTGATTTATTTTTTCTTTATTTTATATTTTTTATGATTTAAAAAATAAAAGCAATCAAACATAAATAAAATAACTCATCAATTTATTTTTTAAATCTTTCTTCACAATTTTTTTAAAAATGCGAAAATAACTTTTTATGTTTCTTAAAAGTGAATTTTTTTTAAATCTCCACAAAAAAAAAAAATTAATAATAATAATAATAATTCACTCACATTAGATCATGATGCCTTTTTTTAGCAAAAATGATAGAGATCCTATTAAATTACTAATTTTTCTACAATCTATACTCGTATGAGCCTATAATTATGTCTGCACCTTGTTTAAAAACAGGTTATTTTAATAATTTTTTAATTTTTTACGAAAAGATGTGTAGAAAAATAGAGAGAGTAATACAACAACTTAGAGTGACTTTTTAACTTTTTGACTAAAACTGAAGGTTACCCAACAAATTAACTTCTAGATTTTTTTTGTTAAAATAACGAAAAACAATTTACTCAATTGGTGACCAATTTAAATTTAAATTCTTCTACAGTCTCTTATTAAATTATAAATTAAGTGTACATTCATATGAGTGTGTAATTCATTCAAATCTTTAACATTTTTGTTTAAATTTTGGTTGCTATTTCTCACAATAGCTATTTATATTATTTATTGGCTTATAATAATAATAGCAAGTGTCATAAATGTGATATCATAAAGATCATTAGAAGGCACCTACCAATTCACTATTGCTAACACTTTCATGACTTCAAATTTCAAATTTAAATGGAGGTAAGTTGAAGGAAAGGTTGTCTAGTCTAAGATTACTTTTCAAAAGAAGTTAATAATGTTGCAACAAAAATAAAATAAAATAAAAAGTATTACAACCCCACCTACCTTTCCTTATTGTTTTAATTCCACAAGACAAAAAAAAATAAGACCAACTCAAGGTCCCAATTGATTGGCATTGATTGGCATTATGCAGCAACACAATACCTTCAAATATTTTTCTTCTTATGTGGGGACACACCTATTTGTCGACGTATTAGTGTTCTCATTCACTTGCTTTTTGTATGTTTTTCTGTTTATTTGTTTTATGCACAGTAGTGTCATTATCAACTTCAATTTTATTGTTTTAAGTATGTCTAAAGTGGATCTGAGCTGTCCTTGAGTTCAAATTCTTGAGGTTAAATTACATTTTATATCTTTATATTTTATATCAAATTTCACTTGATTTCTTCATTTTTTAATTTGCAACAACTAACTTCTTCAACATAGCTCGAATTTGAGCTTGGCCCTAATGACTCAAAATTCAACCACGGTCGATAAGGTGACAACCGCGTTAAACAAGTGTTTCACCCAATCGTCCGGATGGTCGTCCGGTAAACACCAATTCGGGCCATTCGAGCCCCAGCATTTTCAAGCTACAAGACATTTTTCTAATTCCTTATACTTTCGGTCAAATTGTAATGCTATTCTTCTTAGTATTATTCCCTAACAAAAATTGTTTGGTGACCCTCACACAATGCATTTTTTTTCTTTTTTATTTATGCCATATTTTTCCACAATTTTTTCTAAACTCACCCTCACGAACCATCCCTTTCCTAGTAAATTTAGAAAATACTATAAAGAGAAAATATTGTGAAAAAACATCAAAGAAATAGAAAAGAGAAGAAAATTACATTGTTGTCCTACAAAAATGTCTCATGTGATAGTCACGGAACAATTTTTGTTAAGCAATTTAACATCAAACTAATAAAATGACTACATTGCAACTTCACCGAAAATACAAAAGATTAACTATTATAATTGAAAAATCGAATGATTAGAACAAGATTTTGATGTAAAGTACACAATGCAAACTATATTTTTCCCTTTATTATTATTATTATTTTTATGATTGCAAAGGGATCTCTCCCTCTCTTCACCCACAAACAAGGCCCCCCCCCCCCCCCCCTTTTCTTGTTGATCACCTTGCATCTCAACCAAGCATAACTCCAGAAAGGGTATCTACAAGAACAACTCGTCCAAACTCCATAATTATATCTCCGGTTTTCTTTTGAATGTTCATCTAGAATACCAAAGCAAGATAACATTTTGCAGTACATCCATCACAAAATCCCCAAGTTGGAGATAACATCAATAATATTGTTATACAACTCTTGTATAACAGCTAATATTGAAAATTAAAATCCATCAGAAGTCGATGAGCAAAGTTTTAGGGTTTAAGCTCTTGAAGCTGACATTTTGTCCGGTTTATTTGGCACTAACGAAAAACAAATTCATAAAAAACCCTAATGATGCACCTGGTAGACTCAGATGAAATGCCATAGAAACACATTCTTCCATTATGCACTCCCACTTGCTTTCCTAGCTTCTTCTCGCATTACTGCTTTGACATAAATCTCATAGCAACATCCTGAAACCAAAAAAATAAGAAGAAAAAAATAATTAAAAAAAATTCTAGGTAGTGATTGATAGGCAAAGCAAAACGATAAGTTATCTTCTTAATGCAGGTAACATAGATATTTCTAGTCACTTTAAGCAACCATATCAATTGGCCATTATGTACAAGCCAGTCCCTTAAAAGAGCATAGAAGAACTAAGAAATTTTAATCAATTCTACAATTAGGAAGTGCTAAGGTTTCAAGTCGAAGATGCTATGAGGGAAAGACCCCAACTATGTGCATACTGGATAGAGGTAACAGAAGACCTACTATTTTATGAGATTACATAGATGTAATATGAATAGATTGGATATCAAACACATTCTCTTCTCATAATATTAACCAGTTGCAAATGCATGAACTGTATTATAAATGTCCTGCTACAAACTACAAAATACAAGCAAGAAAATAATCAGTTGCAAAATCACAAACAATGTAACATATTGTTCACTGATGCAAGAGAGAGATGCAGACCTCCCAGCAACAAAGCGTATTAGCATGAAAGGATACATCAAGAGTCACTTTTTTTTTTTGGTAAGGTGGATACATCAAGATTCCTTACAAAACACAACAAATGCAGTCTCACTATTAGGGTACAACATGAAGTTCCCAATTGAAGCATCAGTTGCAAATTCACATATGTTTTTCCAAAGAATGATAAAACAATGTAATAAATTGTTTACTGATGCAAAAGTGAGATGCAGACCTCCCAGGAACAAAGTGTACTAGCATAAAAGGATACATCAAGGGTCATTTTTCTTATTTTTTTCCCCTCAGTAAGTTGGATATATCAAGATTCCTTACAAAACACAACAAATGGCATCTGACTTTTAGGGCACAAAAAAACTCCCAATCAAAGAAGCTGTACATGGGTGGCATCTCCCGTCAATGCCTTCTTTTTATGTACTTACATGTACATTTCAGTAAAGGAGAAAAATCAGCATCAGGCCCAACACAACAGGCTGATTATGGATGTGGTATGAGTCTAAATCCTATACTATCAGAACTCACCTGTGTTTTTTTTTGGTTTTGCATCAATTTCAGTTTCACCCAAGGCCAAAGGTAATATCAAATCTCAGCACTAGGAATTTCGTCTAGAAAGCTAATACAGGGAAAAGAAAGGGAAGAAGAGTGAAGTGAAGGCATTAGCTTACCAGCTACAACAATGATCGTGAGAACATCTCCAACTCTTTTGAGTCGCCACACACTTTTCTTATGTGATTTGAACTGCTTCAATGATGGATCCTCTGCCAAAAGCTGCAAGGAAATGAGCTTAGTTTAAGACAATCCTCAAACTTAGTGAAATCAATGAATAAGAAAGCAGCTCATACAGAAATCCAAAGGTCTACATATCAAATAACTTCCCCAAAAGTCAAATATTAATCCATCAGATTGTGTTATTCAGAAGTAAAGGAAAATGTGAAAACATTAGTTTCACAGATATCATTTAAAAAAAAATAAAAATAGATATATACTGATATGTATAGCTTGAGAAGTAATTATTGTGTAGACAGATAGTCACACACTGAAAAGTTCAGACCACAAGAAGAGTGATAAATTACAAGGGACAGATCAACAAAAATCCTAGAAGCTAGTAGATGTGAAGATTTCAACAATGTATTAATATAATGTGTATGAAATATGTTTATTCAGACTGTAGGCCACATATATTTTCATATAGTATACTCCGCTTACAGGCTACTCCTCTTATAGTGTCTTTCACAAACAAGATACAAGGCATAAGAAGTAAAATCTCAAACATATCCTTTTTAACAAGTACAATACACAAGGAAAGCAAATATGGAAGCAAAATGCACTCAACCCCTCATGGTGGGAGTGCAGGCAATATACAAGTTCAAACAAGAATAGCTAATAGAAAAACAAGTGGAAAGAAGAACTGGCTTATAAAATTGAATAAACCTGGAAACAACTTTTTTGTTATAACATTACATAAACAGGACAAGATTCTAATTCACAAGAAAATGCAGACATGATGGAGGAGCAAGATCGTTTGGCCATACTTTGAGGGAGGAAATGGCAGACATAAATGAGCAAGATGGGAAAATATTTTATAGGAAGCCTCCATTAGAATTAGTGCTTGCACCTCATGTAGTTTTAAGTAGAACAGTATTCCCTTGGCAACGAAGGGAGATTCAATAAAACTTTCCAAAATGATGTGGCCCGCAGGGGGTATGAACTTGATGATGGATGATGCTATCTAAGAATTTACAATGGCAATAATATAGAAAGAAAATATTTTCAAACAAACAAAGAGATAAAAGAAAATCCAGGAAAATGTAAGTATTGTAAATTGCCAATTTTAATCCATAAGAGAGTCTGGCCTAAGTAGTAAAGCATTGAGTACGAACAGGAGCATTGAGTGCAGTATTTTCCTAAAGAAAACATTAGATAGTTAGAATCTCAAGACATACAGATAAATGAGGAAACTCGGGAGATTTCCTAAAGTGGGTGAACCATCTAAGACTGCCTACCTACTACCGGTCCTAAACCCTGCAGTAAGCAGGAGCCTTGTGCCCTGGGTACAACCTTTTTTTAGACAACAAATAAAGCTACCTGCAGCAGCACAAACACCAGTACTTCCTAGAAAATGAAAATTGGGGTTGGATTCACTCCCCACTCACGCAAGCATAGATCACTAAATTTTGCAACACAATGTAGGAATGTTATGAAATGTAAGTCTATATATATATATATATAGAGAGAGAGAGAGAGAGTGGCGAAACTATTTAATGTGAAACAAAAAAATTTAATTGTTGGCTTTGATGAAACCGAATAGATGGTTCATTACGCCAAGGATGAGAAATAACAAATATTAAAGGGGAAGGTACTAGCCTACTAGGTTTTACAACAAAAACATATCTGGCAAGATGTGCGCACATGGGAGACCAAGTGGTGGCAAGAGGTGGGTATTTACCACAGCCACAACTAGGGCACTGGCCCGTTGGCATGGCTTGGCCTGCCCGGCCCTATTTTTTAGGATTTGAAAAGGTTGTTTTAGCCCATAGGGCCAAGCTGGGCCAACATTTTAGCTTGATATATTAATAAGTTGGGCTGGGGATTTATACTTTCAACCGAGTTCGGTCCGGCCCACTATTAGATTAACTAATGATAATATATTAAAAAATATATTTTTGTTGGGATCTAGACTTTATCTTTGGTGATTTTATTGAAACTCACATTTGTGGTGACGTGTAATTGAATTTATTTAGGAAATCCTTCAATTTATAATGATGTCAGTATATTTATTTAAAACATATAATGTGACTGAATTTAATTATGAAATGTTTTAATTTTTTTAACATACAGCCCAATGGATGGGCTTGGGATTTATAATTATTTTTTGGGTCAGGCTTGGACAGATGCAAAGTCCCTCGTTATGTAGTGCCAGCCTGACCCAATGAATGCCCACCACTAGCCACAATCAATTGCAGGTAGGAAAAAAATACCTATGATTAGAGGACATGCATAATTCTCTCTCAAACAGAAAGAGTCTAAAAGGAATGTCTCTTCATCATCTAAAGGAAATGTCTCTTCATCATAAGATGTAACTGATGGTGTGAATAAGATACAATGGATGGTGAGAAAGAAAAAAGTTTCATGAACAGTCTTGTGATTAAAGAAAACTAAAATAATTACTTCCAAGTTTCAAAGGTTGTTCAATAAAAACCATGCAAAAGAGTATTGTCCTACTTGTGAACTCAGGATGACAATAAATTTTGAAATGGTTCAAAATCCATAACTCTCCGTATTAGGGTCAACAGTGTAGGGCAATCCATGACAGTTCGGTTGAATAACTCCTTCAATATGACGAAAATGAAAAGAAAAAAATATGTAGAAAGTGTGAACTGATAAGGCATTACAACACCAATATCTAAACTGGAGGAGTTATTCAGAGCTGCACCTGTGTCATTTTTTAAAGCTTATGCACCACATCACAACAACCCCCACCCAAATAATAATAATAATAACAGAAGGAAACAATCCTCCAACAAAGAAATATCCTTCATGGGAAGTAGATTTTAGGCCTGTTCTCCTCACCTTTCCAACTCACACTTGATGTTTGCAAGAGCTGCCATTGGTATGCAAGATTTTCAACACAAATGTTGTACATATAGAAAATTATAGTGTGAAATTGATCACTTACTAACCAAATGATAAATTAAATGCCAAAGCAGAAGCTTCTATATGTGCTTCACTTCATACAACAAGCTTTTTAACTTCTCATTGTTCAACTTACATGCATGGCAAGGTAAAGAAACATCCAGAGGGTCCAGACCCACTTCTCCATTAAGTGGGGAATGTAGGAGAAGTGCCACCCAGAAAATCATAGGAATCAATTAACAAAAGGTGTAAAAGGGGTGAAGGATCACGAACTGAGAACAATTATGCAAGTATATGGTATAAATACTCGATGCCACTGATTTCGAGTTCATATTGGGTGATCAAATACAACCGAGCTTATATTAATGGGTAAATTAGGCCCTTAATTTGTGAACTAGGTAAAATAGCAGAGAAAACAGGAAAGTGATGCCACAGTAAGTGTTCATTTATTTTCCTTCTCTTTTCTCTGTTTCTCTTTTTCTTTTCTTGCAATTTTTTTGGCCTTTCCGTTGATTTGACCATAAACTAAACAGTAAAACAAAGGCCAAAAAGGTGAATTGAAAGGTAACAAGAATAACAATGTCTGATCATCATTTCAGTAACTATCATGAACTTCCTTTTCCATTCTCAAAAGCCCTTTTTTTTTCTAAAGAATTTTCACCAAATCTCTTGATTTTACAACATACAAATCAAACAAAACACGATCTAAATGAATCAATTAAGCGTTTAATTTGCTAAAATTAAAAAAGAAGAACAAAACTCACAGCCTTCTCACGAGGCCCTGGTTCGACATGGAATCCCCGACGCGACAGAGACAGCGAATCCTCCGACTTCTGCAGTGATTTTTCGAGAGAGAAAGTTGTTGCAGAAAAAAAAAACAAACAAACAAACAAGCAGAACACCGCAAATTAGAGAGAAGATCGATTGATTTAGGCAGTAGATGTGTATATGTATGTATGTATATATATATACAGAGAGAGGGAGAGGGAGAGAGAGAGAGGGAGAGGGGGGGGGAGAGAGAGAGAGAGAAGGAATACCTGAGAATGAGAGCGTAGATGAGAGAGAAGAGTGGTTTTGTTGAGAAGAAACGCCATTATTGAGAGAGAGAGAGAGAGAGGGGGGAGCAGATATGAAAGCTACCCAATAATGGCACTGATCTGGGAAATGGTTAATTGCCTAGACACCCCATATCCCCTCTTTTAGCACAACAGTGATATACAGTGATATACCTAATGAGATAGCAAATACGTCTTTAGAAAATTTAGATACAGAAAATTATAATTTAGAAGAATTTGATTTTGAAAATAAAGAAGATTATTGGAACCTAGAAGATCTTAAACAACCAGCTAATTTAGAATTAATTTTTGCAAAAATAGGAAAAATAAAGAAAAAACCAATATACAGGAGAACCGAAAATGATTTAGATGAGATAATAAGATTAGCTGAAATAACAGAAATTTTAGGAGAACAACCCATAAAATATTGGGAAAGAAATAAAATCTTAGCTAGTCTAGATATAAAAAATAAAGATTATAGGATTACCTCAGCACAAATAGATTATACACTAGCAGACATAGAAGAATTTAGAACACAGATTAAGGAATTACTAGATCTAGGAGTAATTAGACCCAGTGATAGTCCGCACAGGAGCGCAGCATTTATGGTTAGAAATCATGCAGAGATAAAAAGAGGAAAAACTAGAATGGTATTAAATTATAAAAGATTAAATCATAATATAGAAGATGATAAATATAATATACCAGATAAAGACCAACTCATAAATAGAATACAGGCAGCAAAGATATTTAGCAAATTTGATTGTAAGTCAGGATTTTGACAGATAAAAATGGAAAAGGAAAGCATACCATGGACAGCCTTCTGTTGCCCTCAATGACATTATGAGTGGCTAGTTATGCCCTTTGGATTAAAAAATGCACCTTCCATATTTTAACGTAAAATGGATAGTATATTTAATAAATATAGTTTTATACTGGTATATATAGATGACATATTAGTGTTCAGTCCAGATAAAAATAGTCACATAGATCATTTGTATATAACATTAGAGGAATTCATAAATAATGGAATAATAATTAGCAAGAAAAAGATGGTATTAAATAAACCCTACATAGAATTTTTAGGAATGGAGCTAGGAGATGAAAAAATTAGGGTACAACCTCATATAGTTAAGAAAATTTTAGACTATCCAGATAAATTAGAAGATACAAAACAATTTCAATCTTTTTTAGGAATTTTAAATTATGCACGAATGTATATTCCTAACCTTAGTAAAATAATAGGACCCCTTTATAGTAAGACCACACCCACAGGACAGAAATATTTCAATCAACAAGATATAGCTCTAGTTAGAAAAATAAAAGACATTTGTAAAAATCTACCAGACCTACAACTTCCCTTAGAATCAGAATACATAGTTGTAGAAACAGACGCAAGTCAATTAGGATGGGGAACAATATTATTAGCTAAACCCAGTAAATATGACAGTAAAAATAAAGAACGCATTTGTAGATACAGTTCTGAAAAATTTAAAGAAAAAGATACAAATATGACCAGCCTAGATTTTGAAATACTAGGAGTAGTATACGCAATAAATAAATTTAGATTATTTTTGCATAAACCTTTTACAATAAGGACCGATTGTAAAGCCATAGTTAGATTTCATAACAAACTAAACGAGCGTAAATTAAGTACTAGAAGATGGGCAAAATTTTTAGATTGTATAGTAGGACAAGGATATAAAGTAGAATTTGAGCATATTAAAGGAAGTGATAATAGATTAACAGACTGGTTAAGTAGAAAAATTTATTTAGAAAAAGAAGATAATCAGTTTAATTTTTGTAGTGGGACCCCCTATTTTTTTTTTACCCATACATTCTGTCTGCTAGGTCGTCAAGGTCTGCTGCTGAGAGTTGGTCGTAAAAGTCATCTCCATCTCCCATGGGTGGTTCATCGTACCATTCTTGATCATTCTCTCCCATCACCGGTGATTCATGAGAGACGCCATGCTGGTAGTTCGGGTACTGACTTTCATCGACAAATGTCTCTTTGCTGAATGGATATCCTGGGATGGCTAAATTACAATGTATCTTCTGATGTATATCTTCACAGACTAGATGTCCATAATTTCCATTATAGGCTAAGAGAGAGTTGCTAGCAAATTTTCTCCAATTATTGAGCTGGTCTTTGAGTGAAAATCTTCTGCATGGCCAGGGTCTCCTATTGAGAAGTCCTGGGTATCCTGGGAATGTAGAGGTTCCTTTGAGGTACATTTTGTGTTTAGCTGGATTGCACCATATTCCCTTCCACTCTGGTAGTTTGTTATCTATCAAAGCTTCCACATACGGATGATGTTCTTCCATTACGCACAGTACTGCATGAGCAAGCTTGTGTCCAAAGTTATCTGTCTGATCTGGATCTGTGGAAATTAGTCTAGAGACAAAGCCGTAATCTAACAATTTTGGGGCTGTTAGATAACGAGTTTCGCCCCTAATTTCTATCTCCAACGGCTCGAATGTAGCTAAATTTATCTGGCAAAGGCAAATGCTGAAGTCTAGGTTACACTGACATCTACCAAAATGTTCTGACCTCTTATTGTATTTTTCTTCGTCTAAGCAGGGTTACCCTTCATCTTCATAGGTATAGGTCCATTGATAAGCTAGGCCGGGGCAGTCAACTCTTGCTATGGAGAGATCTTGAAGAAATTGCTGAACAATGACTAACTCGTTATTTCTGCTATCTCCGGCTAAGGTATAAATATAGGGTTTTAGGTCTTCCATTACTTGGCTTTTCTCACAAAAGGATCGAATGATAGAATGCCTGAAGGAATACATTCTAGCACTCAATTGGTCAAATTCCTTACTAATGAGTTGTTTGATTTCTGGGCTAGGTAAGGAGGTAGGTGTTCTTCCTGGAGCTAATTTTTTAAGCTGGTTGGTTAGGGTTCGAACGGTTGCTTTCAATTGTTTTTCTTCGTCTCGGAGCTGGTCTAGCTCTTCACTGACCTTCTTGCCTTTATCCATAATTTTCTTGAAATTTCTGGAAAGGCCTTCACAATGTCTGCACATTTGGAGAGGATTCTAAGAATCTATCTGAGGATTAGAACTACTACTGCCTGTACTACTGCTTCCAATTGTCTGGCTAACTGGAACTCCACTGGTAGCAATGATGGTAGATCTCATCTTGCTCAATGTGTCCAGGTAATCTTTAGCTATCTAGCTAATAAAGTAACTGGTTCATATTTGTCTTCGGGCATAGGTACTGGCTGACTCAAAATCATAAAATCCTTTAAACTGAGGTGTGAGAAAATATTTGACTAAAGGTTCTATTTCTGTTCAATCATGGTAAATACCAGGCTTGGTTCCTTTAGCTGCTACATAGAAAGAAAAACTTTTAGACAAGGGCTTGTTTTGGATTTTTGAAAAATATATACTGAGAGAGTTTAGGGCTGAAAGGCGCTTAGCTGGGTGGTTTTGACACCCCTTTATAGTAAGACCACACC